CCTTTGGGTCAGGTCATGATCTCAGGGTCCTGGGATCTAGCCCCTTGTCACCAGGCTCCCTGCCCAGCAGGGGGTCTGCTTGTACTGCTCCCTCTGCCCTTCCCCCCCCATCCTGCTCTCTCTCTTGCTTTTTCTCTCTCAAATAAATAAAATCTTAAAAAAAAATTAGTCTGGAAAACCATGATGGAGTTTGTAAGGGGAAGTCTGTGAGGGGAAAAAAGCAGTTATGACTTATCTCAGGAAAACAAGTAACTTTGATTCTTTGAACTTACCCTGCTAATACCATTAACTTCTATGGTAATGATGCTTTGCCACACCCTGGGAGTTATAAATGCCTGGCAAGACCTTTGTAAAACATAAACCAGATCGGTAGCGAACAAGCGTGGCAAAGGCGGTGTGAGTGGCATATTTATTTCCAGCCTGAATTCCAAATGACATCAGTGCAAAGGAGAGTGTTCCTTCATGCAGAAACAGCTGATGAGAAGGCCATGGCATTTTCTACACTCTGCTGCACCAAGTGCACGGCTCTCTGTGACTTTCACTCCCCCGACCTCCCCTCCCATGCCCAGCCAGGATCTTTCTGTTGCACTTCCAGATGCTAGAGTAGCACCTGGCACACAGCTGGTGGCCAAAAAGGATGGGAGGAGAGAGTCTTTGGACCGTATGTTTATTTTCATGTACAAAAAAAGGGGGGAGGGGGATAATGTGGTTTGAATATACAAAGAATTGTTAAAATTCAACAAAAAGACAACCCAATTAAAAAGTGAGCAGGAGGTTTGAAGGCACCTTTCTCCAAAGATATATAAATGGCCAACATGTACATGAAAAGATGTTCAATACTGTTGAGTGATTAGGGAAATACAAATCAAAATTACAATGAGATACACTTTACATCTACTAGATTGGTTTTAATTTTAAAACAATAACAATAAAAAGTGTTGGTAAGGATATGGAGAAATCAGAACCCTCATACATTGCTGGTGGGAAATGTACAATGATCTAGCAGCTGTGTAAAATAATCTGGGATTCCTCAACAGCTTAAACACAGAATGACCACATGAGCCAGCAATCCCACACCTAATTACACATCGAAAAGAACTGGGGCGCCTGGGTGGCTCAGTCTG